ATCATTAACAAAGTCTATTGATTCTGCCCCCAAAATGTATCTTTGATCCATCTACTATTTATGTCACCTGCCACCATCCTGGTTACTGACCACACAGCCTTCTTACCAGTCTCCCCGCCCAAGCTGCCCAAGCCACTAGGAACCCTCAACTTGGGGGGGGGGGACAAGACCAACTCTATTCTAAACCATTCTACAGAGACCTGTAGAAAAAACTTAGGTAGGAACTCCTTGCAAATTTGAACTAATCTAAGAAAGTTCACATCCTGTAAAGAACTATGAAACACTTTAGCTGACTAATCCTGGGAACATCACAGTTCATTTCAGTCAGGGCTTCAAGGAAAGAGAATTCAACACTGCTGTCTTTCTATTACAGTGGATGTAACTGACAATGTTCTTTTCTTTGTTGGATTCTAAATGATCTGAACTGCCAAATTGGAGTTATTTATATTAGTGAAAGAACACTGAGTCTTCAAACTATTTCTCTTGTGGCAGTAATGCTTTTTGTTATACTGTGAATGCAGCTTCTGCAGATAATTGAAAATTTCATCTTATTTTAAGCAAACAGTTCAGTCTCTTTGCAACTCATTTTGTTGGAGAATATCTATTTGACAAGCCTCTGGTTCCAAGGTGATTTTTAGTGATTGAGTTAGAAACAGAGTAACATTTTACTCCTTTCCTCAAAGAGGGGTAATTTCTCCCATAAAATTTACGAGGTACAATATAGGGTGGGCTAATCTATTAAATTTTCCTGAAATTGATTATGAGTTTTATTTAGGAGATCAACCTTCAGTCTGAAACTAAACAACATTAGTCTTTTGTTGCCTGATCTAACAGGAAAACTGAGAATCATATTTTGAGGAATTGGAATGACGTGTTCCTGTCATCTTCAATTTTCCTCTGTTGTTTAAGGTCTTCTGATACTGGTTATATTTTGCCATGTGCTTTGATTCAGTATCTTCCTTCATTATGAGTTTAGCACAGAGAAGAAATGTTAAACACACTGTATGATCTAAAAGTAAGATTTAAGCACCACTTCTAATGCATAGAGTCTTTTTTTCCCCAAGTTAAAATTAATTTATTTTCTAATATGTGTGTAATATATATTTATATATAAAGCTTTTATCTTTATTCCAAAAATTTTTTTTTCTAAGATTGGATAAAGGAGATAGGGAAAAACTCTCCAGACTATGGTAGCCTGCATTATAAGTAAATGCCTGCCTTAGACACTTCCTTCTCTTAGTATGTTTTTAATAATATTGATTACATTTGTTGAATATATTCTATGTGTCATTTGTTAAACCGTCACTTTCTGTGTTTTCTCATTTATCTTATTTAGTCTTCACATCAACCCCGCGAGGTAGGTTTTACTGTTTTACGGCTGTGGAGACCGAGGCCAGTGCCGTGAAGTAACTACCTAAAGCCACACAGCCACTCTGTGCCAGCACAGGGGCTCAAACGCGGTTCTTTCTGAACCCAAAGTACGTTTTTTTTTTTAACCACACTGTACTTTCTTTTATGCCTTTCCCCTCCAAATATTCTCAAGTAGATAATCATACGAGTCGCTAACAAGCTTCAAGTGTTTGGGAAATTTTGAATCTTTGGCATTTTCTGTCACTTTCAGTGAGCTGGTCTAAAATATAATAAAACATGCAGTGCTTTCCTGAATCAAGTGGAAAATTTTAGAAAGCACTTACGAGATGTCCTTTAAAATACAGAAAGAAAGAAGACACACAAAGCATTTCTCTAAATTAACATAAGAGATTAGGTATGCTTTTCAGTACCAAAACAAGTCCTTTTCCATGATGTACATTCTGTGCCCACGATAGTTGATACGACAGCTGAAATCTGGTAGAGCATTCAGTTCTTACTATGAGGTTGGGAAGAACTCCTGCCTAAGAGCCTAACAAGCCTCAAGGGAAAGAGCCTCAAGCCTCCAACTGCCAGAGAAAGCTATGGAAGCGTAGGGTGGTGGGTCCGAGGAAGGAGAAGCACCTTAAGGTGGGACAGATGTGAAAGGACAGATGATCACGAGTGAAGTCAGCGGACCTTGTGTGAAGGCCCAGAGAGATGCTGCCCTGAGGTGCTGCCCAAGCCAGTTTATGACTGTAGCCGTTACCTTTTTGAAAAGAGTATAAGCATAAATGTAACGAGCAATAGTTAATTCATTATTTTCTTTGCAGAACATGACTCAGTTTCTGTTATACTCTAGGAGGTTTGCTTTATTTATTTAAGAAATGTTGGATATTAGATGAAAGTTTTACTGGAGACTGAAATATTATCTATTTAAACTGTGGCCAGAATTATAGACACAAATAATTTTTCACCCCCAGGAGAAGTATTAAAATTAAATTTAGATTTGATCACCAAATATTTTATTCCTCATTTATTAGCTGTGATACTTAGTTGTAACCAAAAAAAAACCAAACAAACAAAACCCACCACATACACACACACAACAACAACAAACCCAGCCTGGAAACTAGGTACTACACAAATTAAAGGGAAATTAATTTTGTCCTGACTATAAGACAACTTAAATTTAGAATTTTAAATTATGCATTCTAAAGGCAAGATCTAAAGGACTTCTAGTAACTATTCAATGTTTCTAATGAGAACAAATTAAAAATACTCCCAAATCCCCTAAGTAAGAAGGGACAAAACCAACCACGGAAACCTATCGGCCTTTAGAAGTTAGAGGATTTTAGAGGGGAAAATGTATAGGCTTAAAAATAATAGATGGAACGTTATTAAAGCTACTGGATGAGGATTTAGGTTTTCCTTCCTCCCCTGACCAAGCACAACGGTGCTATTAAGGGAAGTAACACCTATTTAAAGGATGTTAAGAAAGTAAAATTTTGCTTTGTTTCACACCACTAGCCTAACATTGCAGCATGAGGTTGGGTCAGATGACACCTTTTGTAATTACGGTGGCAGATGCGGGTCTGTATAGAGTCCCAAGAGAATTCCAGGCTCTGGGTTTAAAATCTTGGTTTCTCTTTGATATGGAGGGCTGGAGAATCCTCCCACCCTTCCCCAAACCCTTTTCCAAAATGCAGGTTCAGCAGAAACCCACTAAACTTTTCATTATTCTCTCCTTTAATCAACTTTACTTCTTCCAATTCCATATTTATTTACTTGTAATTTATTTTTTGTTGTATCATATCAGTCTTCTTTACCTGTGTTCTCTTTTAGCCTTCAACTTTCCAATAATTTTAAGCCAATATTTAACTGCTTAGTAGTTATAAAATAGGTTTTGCATTTAAAAGGGGATGTCATTTTTCATGCATATTACCTGTAAAAATCATGTGACACCTATGCCTACTGAACTTTGTATGTTTCAATCACTAACCACTGTTAAACCTTATTTAGACAGCATTTAGCTATGTGTTAAAAGCTAACTTACTTTTTTCCCCTTATGTCTTTGTATATTACTTTCCCCATGTGGATGGTCTGTTTTAATGTTAAGGTAGATGGATTAAAATTTTTTCTTATCACTGTTTTATATGAAAACAGCGTCAACACATATTTAAATAATGTTCCCAAATGGCAGCCAGTAGGAGCTCTGAACATGGAGAGAAGATACGCCACAGTAATACTTTAGAAAGAAATAAAAACCCACAAGGGAAACAAATCTAAGTACTTAACGCTACCTGAAGGGGCTTTGATTTTGGAGACTAAGTATACACTCATTTGATTTGAATTTGAAAATGAATCACACTTTGAGCCTGACCCCAGCCTCACAGCCTGTTCTGCCTCATTTTGCACAGAACTCAAGTATCATGGAAGCAACAGCAGCATAAAATCCGAGACTAACATGACGACTGACCATTTTCAGGGTTCCTTATGCTGCTAGGACGTTTCATTCAGACACACGAATCCCTGAGGGAAATGGGTATTTACCATGATGTCCGCTTTTCTAGACACTGCAGTTTGTTGATTAAATTCTGACACTTACAGAGTCATTTCATGATTCCTGAGGGGACATATGTGCTCACTAGTGTGTCCTAGAGTCATTCTTCCACTCATTCCACAAGTGTGTCTGGGCATACAGGCACACAGCACACAGATGTGAACAAGACACCACAATCTCTGATTTTACAAAAGAACGTGTGGCTGACCCTGCCCCACTGGGAGGGATTCTGGTCCTTCTTTGCCAGAGAATCTGGGCAGAACCATCTCGATTTATGCTGGCAACTGTACTGTCAAGATTTTGAACCCTCTGAACCCGTTCAGTTTGTTTCTAATCCTGCTTCCACGAAACAAAGTCATTCTGATGTTCCATCCTTTCCTTCAAGGAACTCACCTTAGAATTAATAAAAATAGTAAAAATGGCTGATAATTAATTAGCTGTATATTCCAGGTATTGTGCTAAATATCTCACATGCTCTTTCTCATTTAATCTTTAGAAGAATCTTTAGAGGTATATACTGTTACTATTATTCCCTGTTTTACAAAAATGGAAACTGAGGCTTAGAAAGAATGTAAACCTTTCCCAAGGCTATGCCTAGTAAGTAGTGGAAAATTGAATTTGGATCTGTCTCACTTCAATGTTCCAATTTTTCTCCTTTTTTTTTCTTTTTCCCTATTTCCCACTACCCTCTCTAGTTTAATTTAGAATTAGCACTGATGCTTTTTTCTGACATGTGGATCATTAACAGAACTGTTTGGTCTGGGATTTTTTTTGATATCACTTTCATTTCTAGCCCTGTCCCAGGCCAAACTAACCAAATTTGTTGATTGGTTTTAATAAACACCCTATGTTGTTTATCCACTTAATTAATGTGTGGCAAGTGTGTTGTGCTGCCTTTTGGTCTCCACCCAGCATATCATCTGACTTCTATCTTTAAGCTTTTGATGAAATACAATTTGATGCTTTTTTCCCTATATTTTTCTCTTGAAGTAAATGACAAACTCATCCAAACTGAACTTTTGGTTCTGGGTTCTCTCTAGTTAATAAGGCAATTCTCAACACATCGACATCTGAACTGGTAATGACTTACTTGTACAACTGCATCCATTTTATCATTCCAGGCTGCAAGGTTCTCCCCCACCATCCATGGCCTGACTTTTCCCACGGTGACAGCCCCCAAAGCTACTGTTCAGCTTGAGTCTAATTTCCTGAGGAGGGCTTGGGGACAGGGATTCTGACAACACCTGAAGAGAACAGAAGTTAAGAGTGCTTCTGTTATGGTGAGTAAACATTAAAGCTAAATTATTGTTACTTTTTTATAACTAGGTCATTATGACTTTATCACTAAATTTGTTTTCTATTTCGAATTCTCCAAAATGTGAATGTCTTTATTCTTGAAGGTCATCAGGCTCTAACAGCACAGGAAACAAGAACAAAATGCTCGATTTCATTAAGATGCTTTTGAGCACATTAATTAGCCCTTCCCAAATCCACCTGAATCAAAGCCTAAGAGGCATTCATTCAGCGATACTATTTTACCATGAGCTAAGCTTGCCATGGCTTCCAGTGTTTACATAAGGAGAACAAAAAATGACTCTTCACTCTCCTAGATGCCACATTTTGCCCACCTACATCTCTACCATAGTACATTATTACAATTTAACAGCTCAAGAAAGTTAATCTTACTTGAAAGGGATTTTATAATGTTTTAAATGACGTGGGAGATGGGATGTGTCTGCAGACATTGGCTCTTTTTGCCTGCCCAGAATCGCTTCCACTTCTTTGGGTAACGATGTCCCGATTTTCCTTTGAAACAGTATCCCTGAACCTTCCTTGGTGGGTGTGGTCTGCATCAACGTGAGACCACGGATCCACCCATCTTCCCAGTTCAAGGCTTGATCATGTGACCCAGACCTAGTTAATTGGAGTTGCTACGATTGGTTCAGGAGTGAGGATGTGACTTTCCCAGGCCAGTGAGAGTCACCCTTGGGTCTTTTCTCAAACAATGGAGAAAAATAATGCATCCTGGGAGTTTACTTAGCAGTTCAGATGTAACTTTCGAGTTGCTGCTGGTCACCTTGCTGATACTGCTTGAGCTCATTCTCTCAGAGGAAGGCAGGGTCAAGAGATGGAGACTGACTTATGATGATGTTGTTTAAGCAGCTAAGTTCAAATATGCTTCTAAATCCTGCTCTACCCACAGATTCTTTATTTACATTGAGTAAAAAAAAATTCCTTTTTCATTTAAGCTAGTTTGAATTGGGATTCTGTCACTTGCAGCCAAAATAATTCTGACTAATGCAGAGAGTAAAGGTAGAAGAAATCAGAAGTACATGTGAGAGTTAACCTGTTCTCCACGAAAGGATAGTCTGCTTGGAAAAGAAAGGCAGCCAAGTAATTAAATGTCAAATTATATGGTGCAGACTCTATATGCTGTATAACGTTGGCAAATGCAGAGATCAACTCTTTCTGAAGTACCTGGGAGAGGAGACAATGGAAAAGGTAGAAAATGAGTTAGCCTTGAAGGACAGGTAGGAATCTGAATAAGGGAAAAGGTCAAAGGAGGGAATTCCAGGTAGGAGAAGCCTGAAAGCAAAACACTGAACTGCAAACGGTGCATTGGATTGTAAGGGATAAACAAGGAGACCAGTCCGACTGGCAGACATCACTGGCAGTAAACTTGCAGGGGTGAATGGGACCAGGTGTTGGCCTTGAACACGGAGCAGAAAATTTGTAGTTTGGAGGGACAGGCATTAGGGAACTGCTATATAAATTTGAATGGGTGATTAAATATTTCACAGGAACATTCATCTGATGATGTAGTGAATAATGGGTAAATTGGGAATAAGGGAGAGACTGGAGTCAGTGTCACTAGCTAGGTAGCCACTGTAGTGGGTAAACATAATTGCCCAATTTATTATCATAAGAAGGTCTTTTACCACCTTGGTTAAATTAATTCCTAGGCATTTTATTCTTTTGATTCAATTGTGAATGGGATTGTTTTCTTAATTTCTCTTACTGATAGTTCATTATTAGAGTATAGAAATGCAACAGATTTTTGTGTATTGATTTTGTATCCTGCAGCTTTACTGAATTTGTTTATTCGTTCTAACAGTTTTCTGATGGAGTCTTTAGGGTTTTCTATATGTAATAGTAAGTTATCTGCAAACAGTGATAGTTTTACTTCTTCCTTTTCAGTTTAGGTGCCTTTTCTTTCTTTTTCTTGCCAAATTTCTCTGGCTAGAACTTCCAATACTGTGTTGAATAGAAGTGGTGAGAATGGGTATCCTTGTCTTATTCTTGGTTTTAGGGGAAAAGATTTCAGTTTTTGATATAGTTAATATTTTTATATATTTTTCATTTATATTTAAATATATTTAAAAATAATTTTGGCTCACAAGAATGATGAGATGATAAAAAGTAAAGCATAATTAAGTTCCTTCCTAAATCCTTAGCCAGCAGTATAGCAATTACATATTTAAAAAAAAAGAGCCAACTGAAATAAAATATAATATTAGAAAACATGAGCACATCAAGAATTTGTACCAAGATCAGAATGTTCCAAGGCTTATTAACTAGTTGGCTTTTTGAAAGTATATAAGCTACAAATCAACGTGATTTACTTGGCACTGGTCTCCCTACATCAGCCAGTTAAAGCTACAGTCTCCATCAAGGATTTCCAACATAAGAAAAGCAAAAGCAAATTAGTACATTTTTAAAAGCAGGTTTAACTGTTATCTCTGAGATGTTTCCTATCCGTCTGTGCCTTTCAATTTCCACCAGCCTTATTCAAGTATAGGCCCTCATGCCACTGCTCTGAGTTATTGAATTAGATTCCTTCTTATTTCCTGTCTTTGTTTTTCTCTTTCCAATCCAACTCATGTATTGCTGCCAGAAAATCTTCCTAAATTACAGCTCAGATCATATCAATTCTCTGCTCCAAAAGCTTAACTGTTTCCCATTGCCTTCCAAAGGCTTTAATGGAGTTTTCAGGGTTATCTGAAGGTATGTTCTCAGCTTCCCTCCCCAGCCTTATTTCTCAGCACATCTTGCTTGCACAGATCATGCTTTCTTCCCCGGACAAGAGTACAGCTTTTCTGCCTGTCTCCTTTACTCCCACAGTCCCTTTACCTAAGATGCCAACCACTCTAATCTCTGTCTGCTAAAATTCCCACGTTTCCTTCCAGACTTAACACAAAACCTTTATAAAAAATTGTTTATCTCTAAGGCTGGTACCTTCTCTCTCAGGGTTCTCATAGCTTTCTATTTTAACCTCTTAGAGCACAGTCACATTCGGTCTCATACACAAAGGCTGAATATCTCTCTTCCCTCAACTTGACAAGAAGCAATTTGAGGGACCTGATCGTGTTCATTTTTTTTTAATCTTCTATAGCATCAGTATAAACTTTACTTTTACTTTTGTCAATATTATACATGCATATAGTTGAAAGAGCCAAATAGTCTTATAAGGCTAATTAGGAAAAACACTTATCTTACATTGCTTCCTCTCTTATCTAATAATTTTGCTATTTACCTCTACTTATTCTAAATAATACACTTAACACTGCTATTTTATGATGTTTTTAGTTTTAGGAATTATAAATGAAACTCCATTATGGAAGACAAAGATTTATTAGCTCTCTGTCACCCTGACTGCCATGTTCCCACAACATGCTTGCATCCTTCCCATCCCCCATTTTCACAGTTGTAATTTTTGTTAGATCCATGCTATACATACACATATAATATATAATTGTATAATACATGCAATATATTATGTATTATGCCAATACTACCTGCAGTCAAGGCATATAGGAAATTATGATTCTTTTTTTCTTTTCTGTATGACTCTTTAATTCCTTTAGGATTAATCATTGTATAGTTTCTTTTGCTTGCTTTGTTTTCTGTTTCACTAATTCAACTCCAGAGTTTCTGCTAATTGTCTAGCTCTCTTAATGCACTGACATGCATCAGGTTCCATCAATTTCATCTTCTTAAGGTTTCAGTAGGATGCAAAAATAAATGAATGAGCTGAATTTGTCATTTTCACTCATAAATTGACCTTGTTTGAAATGTTCTATTCTGTCTAAGACTATATTGTTTTGCTTTACTTTGTTTTTGCACACAACTGAATGTTGAATTTGGGATTATTTTCCAGCAGTGAACATGCTTCAGTTTATGATATAGGATAAACTGTTTACCTACCACTATGCCTTTGGTTTAGGTTTAGTTAGAAATTTGGGGACCAAACTGCAACATAGAAGGCAATATGCATCTGGCCCTGGCTCTAAACGTCCCTTTCTACATTTCTTCCTTAACCTCTGATGGGATGCCTCTGATAACAAGGTGATCTGACCAGAGGTGGTTCTAGCTGTTGCAAATAGAAGGTGGTTGTCTGGATTTCAAAGACCAGTTTTGCTCTAGTTAAAATCTCATGGATCACTGGTTATTGCTGCAGAGTGGGATTAGCGAGTGAGGGGACATTTACTTGGTATTTCACATTCTTAACTGCTTTTTTTCCCTCACTATGAGTATATATTGCATTTACAAAAATAAGTTCCAATTTCTGTAGATCATTTATTCATTCACAAATATTTAAGGGGGGCAGATATATGCCAGGAATTTGGAAACAAAACAGATAAAAATTTCATTCTCCTAGGGAGCTTATATTCTAGTGGATAACAAATATTTACAAAGCAATAATTATGAACCAGCACTATTTCAGCCCTCTAAACATAGTATTTTATTTAATCCATTCCCATTTTTTATACAGCTTTACTGAGCTATAATCCACATACATACAATCCATCCACTTAAAGTGTTCAATTATGTAGCTTTTAATATATTTTCAGAGTTGTGCAGCCATCATCACAATCAATTTTAGAACATTTTCATTGCTCCGTAAAGAAACTGTGTACCCCTTAGCTATAACTCCCTAGTGTTTATTCTCCCAGCCCTAGGCAATCACTAATGTACTTTATGTCTCTATAGCGTTGCCTGTTCTAGACATTTAATGTAGGTGGAATCATAAATATATGGTTCTTTGTGACTGGCTCCCTTCGCTTCACATGTTTTCAGGGTTCATCCATGTTGCAGCATGTATCAGTACTTAATTTCTTTTTATTGTCATATAATATTCTATTGTATGATTATACTTCATTTTGTTTATCCATTCATCAGTTGATGGATATTTGGATTGCTTATACTTTTTGGCTACTATGAATAATGCTGCCACGAACATTCATGTAGAAGTTTTTATATAGATGTATATTTTCATTTCTCTTTGATATATATCCAGGAGTAGAACTGCCAGGT